AGCCTGTAATCCCAGCACTTTGGGAGGCCGAGGTGAGTGGACTGTCTGAGCCTGCGGGTTTGAGACCTGCCTGGGCAACTTGGCAAGACCTCATATCCACAATAAATCAAAAGATTAGCCGGGCGTGGTAGCACGCGCCTGTAGTTCCAGCTACTTGGAAGGCTGAGGTGGAAGGATCGCCGGAGCCCAGCAGGTTGAGGCTGCGGTGGCCAGGAGTGGCCACTGCACTCCAGTCTAGGTGACAGAGTGAGACTCCGATTAAAAAAAAAAAAAAAGAATATGGCAGCATGTTTGTTTTCTGAAATGAGCAATCTAGTAGAGGGGGAAATTACTGGAGCATATTCTTGGGTAGGAGTGATGGAATGGGATGTAACGCACAGGTAGAAGGTGGCTTTTATAGGCATATAGGTAGATTTGTAGATGTGGTGAGGACAGTAGGGAAATTCTCTTCTGAACCCTTTTACTTTGGTGAGATAGGAAGCAAGGTCCTATTGGAGAGGAGAGGTAGAGGAGAAATTGGAGTTTGGGAGGAAGAAAGTATGAAATAATTGCCTAGAAGAGCAAGAGAGTAAATAGACGGGGAAGATGCCAGATTATCGGCAACACTAAGAGCCCACTGAAATGAGTAGTCATAAATTTAAAGTGAGAGCAGCATCATGCTTTGAGTTCTTTGTAAGATCATTGAGTTGGGCTAGCCGGAGAGTAAGATTTTGGGGATTTCAGGTAAGATTTTGGGAATTTTCCCAGGTAAGAATGACAGAGTGTGACCGTATGCAAGCGGGTGATATGATGATGGGCTTTAGAATGTAAACTACAAAGGATGAAAGGAACAACCTGAGGAGGCCGGGAGAGGAATGGTAAGAAGGTGGTAGAATCACGGCAGCACGGGTTCCAAGGAGGTTGAGGAGTTAGCAGAGTCAGGATATGACAGTGGGTAAGCCGGACAAGTGGGAGGTTGTGGTTACAGGATGCTTAGAATTGAGCCTCTGAAGAGTACAGTTGGAACCACAGTCTAGGGTAAGTACAGCTAAGGCAGGGAGAAAGAGCAATGGGAATAGGAGCCACAGCACTAAGAAGTCAATGTGGACAGCGAATTATCCCCAGACTGATAAGGAATAGTACCAGGGCGACAGCAAGCTCAATGTGTGATCTTCCAGGAATAAAGGAGAATGATTTGGGGCTCAGTAGGTGGCTGAACCAGGGAGGAATAGCAAACAGTATAACTGAAAGGCATGAACTTCCAGGTTGGCTGTTTTTAGAAAAGTAGGGATAATGTTCTAGAACAGCGTTTCTCAACAGTGGCACCACTGCCATTTTTGGACTGGATAATCCTTTGTTTCAGAAAACTGTCCTGAGCATTGAGAAATGTTCAGCAGTCTCCCTGGTCTCTACCTACTGGAGGCTGGTAGCACGCTGCTCCAGTTGTAGCCAACAAAAGCATCTCTGAGACCCTGCCAGTTCCTCTGGGGGGCAAAACCACTCCTGGTTGAGAACCAGTGATCCTTAAGCAGCAGCGACGAGCTAAGAGGATGCCGGCCTGGTCTCGGGGCCTGTGATGGAAGGAGTGAGGAAGAACAAACAGCTGTAGGTGACGGGCAGGAGCTTCAGATTTAGGTCAGAACGAGGCTGAAGGAAATGTCTCCAGAAAAGGGTGAGAATATAGGGGATACCTTAGTCTTTGTGCCTACGCAGTGTAGCCCGTGTCGACCCACTTCAAGGAGGAAATGGATGTCACAACCACCTGAGAGTCATCATCTAATGATTTCATTTCCTTTGCTTGACCCAATTCACTATTCAAACAAGTCACTCACTTTTTAGGGGATCTCACAATGCAGATTTCAAGCATTACATTGAATACATATTAAGTTTATTGCTGTAGAGTCCCAGAAGAACACACAAAATATACACAGTGAAGACCTTGGCAGGGCTGAGACACCGGTGCTGTGAACACCCTCTCCCCAGAATTCTCTGACAGCTAAGAAGGCTTAGGAGGTGTAAGACAAAAGTCAGGACTACTCTCTTAAAAACAAGCAGTATGAAAAGGACGAAGGGATCCACATCGTCTCTGGTAAAAGAAGAACAGGAAATGTAGAGGGTTCCATTTCAATGCCTTTTCCCTATATTAACATTCTGCTTATGTGCCCTTGACCAGAGATGCCGGAGTCCTGCTCCCGCAGGCTCAGGGTTTCCCGAAGGATGGACGGCGTCGGCAAAAGAATGGACACAGACCCAGGGCTTATGAGGGACTGTTCACCTGTATTGACTATACTACTGTACATACATTTTTTGTTGCATAAGCTTTTAGGTGACGCACACATAGAAATTTTACATCTTTCCAAAACATCATCCAAGTTTCCCAAGATCTGAGGTCAAGTTAGGGCCATCCAGTTTGCACGCTTCCAGGTACTTTTTTCTTGGTTTCTTAAAATCAGATATAGCTTTCCATGACATCAAAGCACAGTAAAAACAAAGCCTTATTGTACTTATGGTTACTTACGAACTTTTTAACCTAATTATAGAAAAGCCCTGAAGCAACCTCAAATGTTTGGCAGGTAATTTACTTTTAGTATTTGGCCCAAAACCATTCTCTGGAACACTGACATTTTCCTGGGTCCTGTCCATACAGCTGGCCCCGCAATTTACAACGGGTCAGTCGCCTGCAACAACCCCCCCCCACCACTCGCCTCCCATCTGCGGGAACAAATAGTTCTAGTTTTCCTTTGTGGAACACATGACATTTAAAGTTGTCATCTACTACTCCCTGGCAGGGGAAGTGGCCTCCTATTCTTGCATTAGCAGGCCGACCTCCAGGACCTCTGTAATGCCATTTAAAACAATGTCATATTGTTATATTTGGGGACCCTTTCGGGGGGGGATGTTTCAGTCCAGGAAAGTTGTGTGGTGGCAGCACGGGGAATTCTGTGATTTTTGGTAATGAGTAACATTATTCCCCAATGTCCCTTTCTCCTGGAATCCTTTTTCCGTGGTTGATTAGTAAGCTGTGGTTTCCCAGCCTCTAGGATTCCCACTGGCAGCATGACTAAGCAAAGAGAAGCAGCGCCGTTGCCTTCCTAGGCTTGCCGTGCAGCCTGGGGTCATCAGTCTTCTTGACCATGTCAGAAGGTAGACCTCTACGGCCAGTCCCTGACACAGAGAGTAATCTTCCAGGCTTTGGGGTAGAGGGTGAATATGGCATAGAGAGGTAGGAAGGGGACGTCCACCCAAACAGCAGGATCACATTATCATGGTCACAAAATGTGCACCGGTAAATCTACTGGAAGTATACTAATAAAAAGTGGGTATGGCCAGGTACAGTGGGTCACACCTGTAATCTCAGCACTTTGGGAGGCAGAGGTGAGAGGACTGCCTGAGCCCAGGAGTTTGAGAACAGCCTGGGCAACATTGTGAGGCCTCATCTCTATAATTAAAAAAAAAATTAGTTGGGCGTGGTGGTACACACCTGTAGTCCCAGCTACTTTGAAGGCTGAGGCAGAAGGACTGCACGAGCCCAGCAGGTCGAGGCTGCCATAGGCATGATCATGCCACTGCACTCCAGCCTGGGCAACAGTGACACTGACTCAAAAAAAAGTGGATAGGATGAAAGGAGGTTTTTATTCTCTGAGGGAAACAGCCAAATAATATGTAACTCAGGGAAAAATACAAAAGGTTGTAATATATCAGAAAGTAAGGAACTAAACAGCCCACTGAGACCTCTAAGTTCCAATGGCACAGATACCTCCATACCTGTACACAAGAGAAAGGAATCACCTATGATATAAAAAGAACATTTCCAAGCTACCTCTAAGAGAAATGTAGGGGCGGTCTTCTGTGTTCAACCATCCACAAGTACAATCAGTGAGTAACAAAACAGTACTTGAGCTCTCATGTGAGATAAGGCACTTTGTTTTCAATTCTATCAGACTCTTCAGAGTGAATCGAGGTCTGGGTCCTCTGGTAATCTGCAGTGGTGCTGACTGCAGTGCTAACGGACCGCTTGCAAGCCATGAAACTGTCAGAGCACCCCCATCCTAGGCACACACTACGGTGTCATCAGCCTCCTGATCCTCGTGCATTCAGCCTTCTCATCAAACTGCCCTCAGCAGGACCAGTGGGGACGACCTGGGTGGCCTTTGTGTCCATGGCCACAACCTAGGTACCCACCTGCATGGTACAAAGAGGAGAGGGAAAAGCAACCGTTAGAGTGGAGTCCAGCAGTCACCATGGAAAATAACCTCCTGGCAATATTCACACTCATGGGAGTGGAAATGTCTAAGAAAAACCCGGCGAGAGGAACAAGCTACCTGACTCTTAGTCAGGACTCTCAAGGCTGACCACAGCAAATCAGCTCATGGGAGCTGAAGTTCTAAGACACCGCAGTGTTAAAGTTTACTACCAGAAGGAGACAAACTAGTTTAGACTTCAACTGTAAAATGAACTGGTTTGGATTTTAGCTGTAAAATGATTGAAATAAAAAAGAAAGGTAGATAGGTAGAAATTTTTAAAATGGCAAACCTTGAAGTGTTTACATGAAAGGGTGCATAAGCCAGTTTTATGGCCCACCACCAGGGTAAGGACACAACAGAAACATTTTACAAATAATTATTAGAGCCCTTGCCTGATCCCTCCGTCCCTCCCCCATAGAGAGCCAGACCTGGTTCAGCTGGTGTAATCATCCTCTCCCCAAGCCAGGCTGCATTTGTAATTCATGTAAGATTTTAAGAGGAATGAGATGTGTCTACGGTTTCCACACCGTCCAGGCTGGAAAGGGCACAGGCTGAAGCTGAGAATCCCACAGAGAAGCACAGGGCTCACATGACTGGTGAACTGTATCACAACTAAAAACTCAGAACCTGTCAGCCTGCAAGGAAGCTTCAAATGAAACTTTAAAAAATTTATTTATTTATTTATTTATTTTTGAGCCAGGATCTTACTTCATCGCCAAGGCTGGAGTACAGTGGCATGATCACAATGATTATGGCTCATGGCAGCCTCACCCTCCTGGGCTGACGACCCTTCCGCCTCAGTGTCCTGAGCAGCTGGGACTACAGGTGTACGCTACCATGCCTGGCTGACTCTTGTTTCTGTCTTTGTCGAGACAAGGCTTCGCTCCGCTGCCCAGGCTGGTCTCCAACTCCTAGGCTCAAGCAATCTGCCCCTTCTCGGCCACCCCAGGTGCGGGGAGGGTGAGCCACCGAGCCTGGCCTAAGTGGAGCTTTGAGATCAGTAGTGTCCACACACACAGACCGAACTGCCTAGAAACAGCTTCATCCACATGTCCAGGGGCTGTGTGGTAGCAGAGGGGCGTCGCTTGGTTCCTCCCGGGGCAGACGGGCCCAGCGGGCAGACGGCAGTGTCTTTCTTCTTACCTGGCATGATGCTCCCATACATGCAGCTAACAGTTTTCTGGCCTTCACTGGGGCAGAAGGTGCAACAGTGAAGTGAAACACGCCTGCGTGCGGGTGGGGCTTTCTCACGGTCACGGTGAACGGCGAGCCCTTCAGAGTTCAGACCAAGAGCAAAGAACACCTTATGAGTCATGAGGATGTGCTGAGCGTTACAATGTTCTGAACAGAGTCTAAGGCACGGGGCCAGGACCGCAGGAAACAAACAAATTAGAGGAGGAGAACCCTGCTCAGCTGGGCGGGGCAGACACAAACGCAGTGAAAGGCGCAGAAGTCTGTGCAGACCTTCTCCCGTGCTTCTCACCACAGAGGCTCATCATTCAATGCCATACTGACCTTTTTGATGTGGCTGACCCTTCTGGACACTGACCAGGGTCACACAGAGTCAGCTTCATTTTCAACGACATCTGCATTAGCTGGGTTTGTTCTAGCAAGACGGCAGAAAAAGCAGAAGCCCATGCCACGATAAGCTTAAGTTTGTCCTTAATGGATCCTGCCTTGTTTTAGCCTCGCCTAAAGTGAAAGAATGCCGATCCTGTGCTGCATCAGTAACCTCGACTTGTGGCTCTGTGCAGCTGACGTCGGTCTTCAAGATGCTCAGCCTCAATTGCTGAGGAAACTCAGGGGGCAGGAGGAGCACGCTGCGACCGCAAGGCAAGGACATCCGTGGCCCTTCTCCCGTTTCAGAGCTCAGGCCTCTCCTTCTCACACGCCAAGCCAGCCTCTTTCCTTTCAACCCTCCATCCTTGACACGATACATCTGTTTACTCATTCACTTATTCTGGGACTGTGGAGACACACAGGAGGGAGAAAGGTCCCTCGGACAGCCAGGCTGGAATGCAGTGGCACTGGACCTTCGACCTTCTGGACTCAGGCAAGCTTTCCACCACCGCCTTCCAAGTAGCTGGAAACTACAGCACAAACCACCATGCCCAGCTTTTTTTTTAATTGTAGTGATGAGGTCTCACCAAGTTGCCCAGGCTAGTCTCGAACCCCTGGACTCAGGCAATCCTCTTGCCTCTGCCTTTCAAAGTGCTGGGATTACAGGTGTGAGTCACTGTGCCCTGGGCCGGTTTACAATTCATTTAAACAACTTGGAACTCAAAGAAACAACTTAGAGCAAAAATCTGTACCCAAGATTTTGCTAGTTACTGTGTATAGCACGTCTGGTCTCTCAGTTTAACTGGACAGTGATCTCTATGCCTGAGTAGTCTCAAAGAAAATTGAAATAATGCATACAAAACTGCCTAACCTGTTCTGACATACTGCTATTAGGCAAGCAATAAGTGGACACCGAAGTGGCCTACCGTGTCATCACGCTGTGTGACGTTTCACGGTCCCCATCGTTGATTTCTGACTACTCCAACGTCAGCAGAGAGATTCTCCTGGAATGTGAGTACTACCCAGATTTTAAAAACTCACAAGCTCTAAACCACAAAGTGCTCATTTGTCTGTTTTGTCTGATTTGCCTGTTTGTGGTAACCGTGTTACATGGTAATCATGTAACATGTAGTAACCATGGTTACATGGTAACTTATTTGTTATACTTGTATGTTGGTAACAGATAAGCATATATGTAAAACAGAAGAGTGAATTACATGGGCAGATGGTTAGGTAGATAGATAACCAATCAGCTAGAAGAGGCAGCATAACCTTCCTTGTTGTGTTCATGTCCAGACACGGTCTGGACAAAGCTGAAAAATCCTGAACTAGAAATTTCTTTGACTGCATGTTTGTCTCCTGGTAGGTCACCTCCGTGATCACGGTGTCTTCACCATATTAAGAATTCTAACAAACCAACTGGAGAATGATAAAATACAAGCGTAACTGCCAGGTTACGAACAGGGATAGAGAGAGTTCTTACGGTTAATGGCATCCTCTAGTAAGAATAAGAGTAGCAAAGTCTGGGCCATTTCTAAAAAGAAAGAAGATAATCCTATTCAATCTCTCCATACAGCTGGCCCTGGGAGAAATGTCTTTGGGTCCTAAGATGACAGAGCCCAGGGGCCAGGGTGAAGGAGCTCAGGGAAGTGAGTGCATAGATCTCACTCACCCGCACGTGCTGCTCCTAGACGCAGACCCACACCATATAGAGCCCCAGTTCCTTGGGGGTGTAGGTAACATAGTACGTCCCGTCTTTGTTATCCTGGACCATCGTTTCGACTGGACTGCATGGAGATAAAGGTCAAAACACGCCTGCTTCAGTGGCTGCTGTTTCCCAATGTAAACGCCACACCGTTCATTCGATATTGACTTTAAACGTCCCCAAACAGGAAGCTTCCCCCACTTGCCTTGGAAGTAAATTTTACAACAGCAGAAAAGCAGCAAAAATTCTAATTTAATCTAATATTCAGATGACTTCCTTGGAAATGAGCTCTTCTCGACGGGCTTCTCTTGCCCTGTGTCGTCCCTCCCCTGGACTCTAATTCCCAAGAAATATCAACATGTTCCTGGCACAATTTGGTAGCAGAAGGGGGCTGAATTTTAAGAAGGATGTGACGCATTCTCACACGAAAGCTTTTCCAGTCTATCCCAAAGCTTGGCATGATTGCTGGAGGGCAAATCCTGGCTTCGAGAGAGAACTGGAGGGTGGGATGAAGCCCACGTAAGAAAACTCACTGGCCCGACAGGCTGCATCACACTTTCCTCAACCTCAGGGGGAGCTGAGGCGGAGCTGCTGCAGCTTCTCACCCAGACCGCCAAGGCCCTCCTGTGCCCGTGTCCGCCCTGCTGTCACCCAGGACCCCTGACGTGCCACACAGACCTGCTGTTCTTATCTCTGGGGACAACGGCGACTTGAACGTTGTCTCCTCCCCGGCCCACGGTCTCTCCTGCGGCATCTCTACAAAGCAGGGTGAAAGAGGTTGTCTGCTTCTCCCGGGCACTGTGGATACCTGCAGAGGAGAAACACTCGTCCTCACCTCGAGGCAGACAGCAGTGACCACACCCCCGACCAGACCCGTCTTGCTGTCTCTCCTCAGAATGAGAGGCTCTGCTTCCTGTGGCCACGCCGCTCCTTTCTTTTCTGTTCCCCTCGCCTCTCCGGGTGAGCCTGGCTATCCCTCAGCCCGTAGCTGCTCTTGGGCTGCACAGGATCCTGCACCTTAACTGCAGCTCCAAGGAAGCTTTGAAGATACTCAGGACTGACCCATGTATTCTGGCCCTGTGAGAGGCTAGGAACCCAAAGCCTCCCTCCTCAGATGCTGGAATAGGTGGCGGGTCCAGCAGACCAGCCTCACAATCCCCCATGGCGTGAGTGCCTCTGCAACTTGGTGACTCATGCCAAGGTACTGGAGGAACGTCAAGTGGTTATAGCCCCCAGTCCAGCATTCAGGTGAAACAGGGTTTATTAACTTGGAGTTCATGAATGACTCTGAGGCCTATAGAGAGGCGTATGAAGGGTCTAAGGATCCCCTAGATGACCAAGTTGGTGCATGTTTCGGGGAAAGAAGACATTCTCAAAGGGGTCTATGACTTCCAAACAGTTGAGAACACCTATGCCTGAGTCAGGATGACTCCAGGATACAATCTCCCTGTCAGGACTGATCTACAGACTGAGCAGTGGCTCAGGCTGTCATCCCAGCACTTTGGGCTGAGGCAGGATTGCTTGAGCCCAGGAGTTTGAGGCTGTGCTGAGCCGTGATCGTGCCACTGCACTCTAGCATGGGCAACAGAAAACCCTGACTCAAAAAAAAGAAAAGAAAGAAATATATATTTGGATAACTTGCTTCCTTTAGAAAAAGAACACTGGTCAAGAGAAACCATTTTCCCTTTACTGAATGGAACACCTACCATATCCTTTTAAAGGCCAACAAGGTTTATGCGAACCAAAAAGGACATAAGAAATCCCCTTCAGGCTTTGCTCCAAGCACTCTGGGGCCTGCCATGCTCCTCTGAGCAGACAGGATTTTGCCCTAGCCAGCGCTGTCGCCTCCTGCGGCCCTGTGTCTCTTCTGCCCTCTGACAGAAACAAAGCAAGGCCTGTGAGTTTCTTGGTAGTTGCTACTTTTCTGAACTGGAAGAGGGTTAAGCCTCACCTCTGTATTGAATGTGACCTGTACCCTGACCAGAACAAATGAGAAAACGGGAAAAGGGGTGGAAGGTCGCTCTCTTTGAGATCAGTATGTCTCCCCAGCTTAGTCAACTGGCCAGCAGAGGAGTGTTTCCCTAGCTGAAGAGGCCACAAATCCTTCAATCCTAAGTCTCGTCCACTGCCCTCTCAATCCTGACGGGAAATGCCTTCCTACCTTCTCCCTGAAGGACACATTTGGCTGGATCAGTGTCTTTGGTACTAAGGGTCCCATACACTTCATAACCACGGCACTGGCCAGCCTTCTCCCAGGGGGAGAAGCAGATCCTGTCGTTCGCTGCGGGCCAGGTGCTGTACTCGACTCCGTTCAGCCTCCTGAGCCGCTCTACCACCACCCCCTTGGTGATGAGGATCTCCACGTCGGAGCCGCTGGTCAGCAAGTGCTCAGTGAACTCCACTCCGGTCCGCATGGCTGCCAGCAGCTGTTTCAGTTGGGCCTTCTGCAGCTGCAGGGCATTTTCCTTCTGGGCCCGCATGTCTTCCAGCTGCTCCAGCAGCTTGTCCCGATGCTCCTTGATGGCCTTGATGTAGCCCTTGGAGAACATCCGGACATCGGCGGCGACCGCCTCCACTCGCTCCTGGAGGGCCCCGTGCACCCTCCTGCCCTGAGCCAGGGCCTCCGCCAGGGCCTCCACGTGGGGCTGGGTGTCTCTGAGGAGCTCCCGCACAGAGTCCCCATGCTGGTGGACGACGTTGCTGGCGAAGTCCCAGGGGTGCTCCCGGTGAGCGCCCACCACACAGTCCCGGCACACGGGCTGGTCGCAGAGCTCGCAGAACAGCCTCAGTTCCTCTGCAGGGTGAGCAGGACACAGGATGGGCTTCTCCATCCGGCTGTGGCCGGTCAAGGCTTTCAGGTCCGCCAAGGCATGGCAAGTTGTCTTCTTCTGCCGCCTAGGGGCAAGCAGTCAAGAACGAGAAATAAGGGCAGAATTCCAGTCGGGAAAATCGGGCAAAGAGGAGCTAAACAAATGCCAAGCTGAATTTCTTGCTCTAACCTCTACCTGCATGAGCCTCTCTGACTCGTTCCTCATTTATACGGCAGGGACATGATCTACCCGAAAGGACTGCTGTACAGAGTAACATGAGAACAGACTAGGGTTCTGGCTTGGTACGTGCCTTGACAGAAGTTGTGACACTAAGACTACATGCTAGAACTTTCCCCAAAGGGTTAATCTGGCAAGTGTAGACAAGAGCCACAGCCTGCTGCCCAAGGCAAGCAAGAGGTGAGAACATGGTGGAAAACCAGCACCAAGGGACAGAAACCGTGCCAGATGGCAGAGCAGTAAAGTCCAAGCAATTATAGAGTGGCGAGCCGGCCCTGACAGCGTCTCAGCCAGCGTGCATCGAAGATTGGTGAAGCATCTCCACTGGCTAGCCCCTTCACCACCCAAATCTGCAGGCTGGAACTTTTTTCCAGAGTCATCAACATTATCAGAAGGAGTGAAACCAATGGTCAACCAAATCAAAGCTCTCTTTTTTAGATCGTTTCTGCAGCCCTCTCAAGATTCAGGGAAAACCCTAGGAAACCACAGTGACTGTTCAGAGTTCCCCGGTTAACGTGATATCAATTTGAAGCTTATACGCCTTGTCTGGCACCAGAAGAGTGGCTGCAAAGAAAAGAGGGACTGCTGTTTAGCTGGCAGCAAGACAGACACTGGGACTCTCACATCATTATCAGTCAAGAATAGAAAGAGTGAAGTCAATGAACTTGTTCTGTTGGTGAGGCCAGAAAACCAAGGAAAGCCAGACCCTAAAAACTATTTTAGGCTAATCTTAAAACCGTGGTCATTTTATAGTCTGATGTCCTAGAACGGGGAGGCGAAGAGTAAGAGAGGACAGAGAGCGATCCATCTGACAAACCTTTCACCAGAAGCCATAAAAGGCATAATCCACACCCTGACACCTACCAGCCCACCTCACCAAGTTCCAGAGTGACTCGAGGAACAAGACAAAAGCTGAGGTGAGGCCCAGCCTACCAGCACTGTGCTGAGAAGGCATCTGGGTTTGTGGCATGTTGTCAGGTCGATCTGGATGTGACACACAGTTCTGTTACACACTTCCCAGCTGTGGGACCTTGGCAAGTCACCTAACACTGCAGAGCTTGTTTCCTCAATTAATAAATGGGGGTAAGCTGGGCTCGGTGGCTCAGCGCTTTGGGAGGCTGAGGTGAGTGGACTGCCTGAGCCCACGGGTTCGAGACCCGCCTGGGCGACTTGGTGAGACCTCATCGCTACAATAAATCAAAAAACCTGCCGGGCATGGTAGCACGCGCGTGTAGTTCCAGCTACTTGAAGGCTGAGGCGGAAGGATCGCTAGAGCCCAGCAGGTCGAGGTTGCAGTGGCCGGGAGCGACAGAGTGAGACTCCAACTCAAAAAACAAAAAATAAATGGGGGTAAAAGCAGTGCCTGCTTTTCTGCAAGAGTTGTAATGTGCAAGTGAGATCAAGAGCAGGATCTACGCTAGGAGAGTCACTCTCCTGTTTCTCCAGCACCCACTACAGTTATTCGCTACACAAATGACGGGTGATTGAAGGAAACTGTGAGGGACTCTCTGGAAACCGAAAGGGGCTCTGCAAACCGTTACTGCGCTTACAAGTATCGGTATTCTGTGAGGCTGACCCGGCTAACTACTGTTCTAGAGGTTTTGCTTTAGTGTCATACGTTGCTCTTTGACCTTCGATGGCGTTTGAGAAGGCTTTCCTTTGCATCGGCTCACCAAGGGATTTCTGTCTGGACATCTCTGCGCCCACGCTGAAGCCGCACCGGGTGGGGTAGCCCATCTTTACCTATGAGCCCGGCAGCAGAAGTGGCAGAGATTGGCCTTGCAGGTCTGACACCTCTTCTCGACGTCCCCGTCGCCGCGCAGGGCACACGCCAGGCCCGGGCCTTCCCCACGCACACGCTCCGGCATCCAGCACTCGTGGCCAGGTGGTCGAGGGTCAAAGCCTTCACGCCGCGCACGGGCAGGTCCACCGGGGCGTCACACACCGGGCCGAGGATGCCCATCTGCGGCCGCAGACGGCGCGGCTCGAGCTCCCGGAACACGGGCCCCTCGGAGCTGGCGTCAGTCGCCCCCTCGGCTGTCCACGACCAGAAGGGCTCCAGCTGCTCCGGGCACGTGGTGCAGACGGCGTGCCGGCAAGGCAGGAGCCTGGGGGCCTCGAAAAGCCCCCGGCACGAGGGGCAGCGAGTCCTGCCCGAGCTCCCCGGCGCAGGCCCCGTGGGGCGCTGGCCCCGGAGCCCGACATGGCCCCGCGTGCGCGCCCGGGGTGGGCGAGGGCCCGGGCGGTTCTGGAACGCAGCAGCAGCAGCAGCAGCAGCAGCAGCAGCAGGGGGTGAAGCCCAGCCAGAGGAAGCTCGCGGAGCCGGGACGGGGACCACGGGGACCACGGGGACCCCTCGTCCGCAGACCCGACGGCACTCGGGGGCAGA